CCTAACACTGCATAGATAATTTTATAAATCATCAAAAACACTTAGGTAAAACGTTTATACAGCTTTAAAGCAGCTAAAAAGCACAGATTGAAGATCTAAACTCAAATCCAGTTCTGTCAGCTCTACGCAACAGAATACTAATAAAAAAAAAATCCTTGTTCACAACTGTAGCTAGATTGTAACCATTTCAGTTACAATCACCAAGCAGTAATTTTTAAAGGCATTTAAACAGGAAGCTCATTTTTCATATCAAACACAACGACACACTGAAGCATTAACAAACGCATGGAGACTATCAAGGAAAATTAAATTAAAATGACTAAAGTGTCAGATCTGTACTATGATGCTTTCCAAAAACTCTCACAAAAGGATCTCTCTCAGACAATAACTTTCTAAAAATGGAAAACGGACTCTCCCACCATGCCAGGGCAAGGGGAAAAGCATTTATTTATTTATCTAATAGGTATTTAACAGACAGGTTCACATTAACTCTTACAACACTTAGCTCATTTGGGAACTAAGTGAACATCACAAATGTGTATTTTTTAAGCCTCTTCTCATAAAAACCCTGAGGTTAATGCTGCTTTGAGTAAGGATGACTGGACTAGACTTATTCTACAGTGCATCAATTCTTCTCCTTAACTGACCTAAGCAACTGCTGTTTAACAATACATGAGGCACTCCCTCCTCACCAATGGCTTTGCATCTTGCTTTTAATGTTTTTCATCAGTTTTGTCATCAGAAACTCTGAATAAAAGCCTCAAACATGGGCCTCCTGCACTGTGGTACACATAGAAACTTAAGCCTTCCAGGCCATCTCATTGACATAGCTTCCCAACTCGCAGTCCAAATATAAGCAGACTCCTGTTTAATAAGGCAACAGCTCTCAACTATGTCAAGCTTGTAGGTTTGATTAAAGAAGTGGCGATAAAATGCTTCTGTGAATGAAGACTTCTTTCTGGCTAACACCTGTTTGGGACCTCTTGCAATCTTGCCAGTTAAAGTCTTTGAAAAGCATGCCCTTCTGCAAGTTATAATGGGCAAGTAAAAGCCAAACCAAAACAAAAAACATCCTACCTCCCCCTCCTCCCCCAGCAACCCAAGGCATGCTTACTCTTTGAATCAGAGAGCAGCTGAGCTGACATGTGGGTCTCTTGCCAGCTTTCTGAAATTGCAGTACTGGGGAACTCTAGGATTTGGATATTCAAACTCTGTATTTGTACCGCCAACATTTAACCTCACATTCCAGGGCGGGGTTGGGCTCAAAGCCCGGGACATTCCAAAAAGCATTCCAACCAGCAAGGCCCCGGAGGTAGCCCCACAGTGAGCGCATCCATGCTAAAAGGCTAGTAAAAATATCTTTGCATTCCCATTCACGTTCTAATAAGCAGAGTACATGTAGGCTACAGGGAGGACAAGCTACAGTTCTCCCTCTACCCATGGACCACACTTTGGCAGGTATCGTTACAGTTTCTGCAGCATAAGTATCAAGAAACAAAACACAACTGCTTTTTGTTAGCTTGCCGTAGCCTTGTGACAAAAAACACAGTTGCTTCACCGAATTCCACACGATTAATAGGGAGACATTTTCACTAAGCATACTTAAAACAGAGCACAGCTTTGGTTAGTATTGACCAAGTATCATATTCACATCACATTAAAAAAAAAAAAGGTTTCTGAAGAGTGAAGCTGAATATCTTCCAGCCCAATCGTGGTCTCAATTGCCACCCTATGCAAGAATGCAGAAGTGCAATGGCTGGATATTTAAATACTACAGAAGTCATCATATTTTTGTGAAGAAAAAAAAAATCTGCCACCTTCTGTTTATGAAAGGTACAGCAGAAAAGAGAAGCGCAGGAGAAACTCATACAAACGAGTCACCAGTGTAGTTTGCTCTTTAAAACTAATGTGAATAGAACAACTTCTAGAAGGAAAGCACTGGTCACCGAAATAATTTTACTTTAAAACCAGTGCTGAGAAGGGAACATACATAGAAAATACAATTATCCTCTCTGTGGAATAGGTTAGAATTAATTGAATGATCAAAGCAGGATAAATAGTCACACATTAGTTATAATAGTGTTAAGAGGAATGAAAGCATGTAACAAAGTCATTAACCAAAACATGCTGACCTGCAGACACATAGATACACAACCACAACTTTTCTTCAGCTCTTTTTGAAACTGATCAAGGGTGTCAAACATGTTACACTTTCTAGCCATTTGCCAGTATTGACAGCCCTTCTATATTTAGCACTGAATGCTCATTCTACCAGAGTGACTCCTCTCTCACTTTCACATGCTGTTTGTCCTAGCTACGGCCATCCATAATTACAGTGCAGACAGCCTCATTAATGTATACAACTATTAAGAAGAGTAAGTATAAGCATTGGTGACCACACAATAATTTCAGTAAAAATTTGAAAACAGAAACACACACCCCCAAACTTTTAGCACGCATTTAATATAAATATAATACATTTCGCAGACTAGCATTAATATAGTATTTGTTTCATAGAGTTCTATTATCCAATTCTTTCCATCAGTCAAACTAATGCACATATTCTGTAACATAAGATGACTAGTAAAGCATCTGCCTGCTAGGGTATTTACACAACCGCTGTTTAGGCATCTCTCCAACTATAGTTCCACCTGAATTTTTGACAGCATGCTGCAAAAGCCTGCTCAGCTGTTCAACATAAAACCAAATTTTACATATTCTCATCTGCCACTGGAGTCATCCACTCTCACCACAAACATGTGCTCTGAATTGTATTTTAAGTCAATTGCTGGGAGGAAACAAAGTGAAAAGCCTACATAGGGTACACCTCACCAAGGATGCAGGAAGGATGCATGTTCCTACCACGTGACAAAATATCAGGAGAAAAAAAGAAAAGGTACAAATACTGTTATGAAGGCCTTGGATCCTACACTGAATGATCCCATCTGGTTTCTGAAAGAGGCCTGTATCAGCAGTGGCAAACTTTCTCCTGAGTGGTTTTTTTTTTGGTTTTGTTTGTTTGTTGGGGGGGGTGGGGGCGCTTTTCTGTGAGCCAGGACAGAAATCACATGCTGCCCATGGTTGGCTTATCTATAAATTGGTCTCAATTCACTGTAATTTCGACCAACCCACAGGACTTGCTGTCACACATGCCTGCATTATATTTAGGCACCACCACGTGTAATAACTGAGATTTATCCAAAGATTCAGTTTTAATTTCAGACTGACAATGGCGACAAGAGATGAAGCCAGATTCTTCTAAGTGGCAGGACAACAGACAATGGGCACAAATGGAAATACAGCATATTCCATGTAGACGCAAGACAAAAAAAAACCCGCCTTTTTTTTTTTTTACTGTAGGGGTGATCAAACACTGGAAGAGGTTGCCAAGAAAGGTTGGGGGTGGAATCTCAGTCCTTGGAGAGACGAGAAAACCCAGCTAGACACAGTCCTGGGAAATTTGCTCTAGCTAATCCTGCTTTGAGCAGGAGAGTTGGGCCAGGTGATCTCCAGAGGTCCCTTCCAAGCTCAAACATTCTGTGATTCTATAATATTAGACCTTGCAAGCCACACTGCTAGCAGCACCTAAGAATAACTTTTTCTCTATTATTCTATGATGGCTCCAAATAGTCCTGCCAAAACCAAGATGCCCATATAGCACTCACAACAGTAAAATGGCTACTTCTGAAATTTCTGATTAATACTGCAAATTCTTTTGCTGCTTCAGAATAAAAATTTAGCACTGAAGTTATATCAAAACTAAGTATATCTAACTGCATTTCCTGTAATGTACAAAATAAGCAAGAAAAGCTTTCTTCTTTGACTCTATAAATTTTCTATAAATTACTCTGATCTAAACAGCAGACATTTAAAATAAGAATACACATCTACCTGTTTTCACAAGTCTGAATATTATCTGGTGAGATATTATTCTTCTATTGTAAAAGAATGGTTTAATGCTGGCGCTGGCACTGTCACCTGAGGAAGAAGATTCAAAGTTGTAAACAGGAAGACTATTTATGAACTACATCCAAATTAATTATATTTTGTATGTTTTTTTATACAAAATCCTTTAGAAATCATGGTATGATATCCCTCTCATTTTGTTTTCAGACCAGAACTGCTTATCTGAAGATCCTTCACCCTACTGAGGGAAACTAAACCAGCATTTCAAGGAACCATTAATAACTGAAGTCCCCAAATTCTCTTAATCCATGAGGACAATTCTACTGGAGATTCAAAACTCAAATTTAAATCAGACAAGTTCAGCCGGATTGCCATGAAGTCAGACTGCATCTGTACCCACTCTTGGCATATAGCATGTCCTTATAGTTTACTTTACTAAGAAGTTACGATGATGGCAAATTAAGAAGAGAACACGTGCCTTTGTAAGGCCACCAGTATCACTAACAGCTAAATACTGAGGCAAACTAGGTCACAGTTCAAGAACCAACACGCAAGACCATATTTGGATGCCCATTATTGCAAGTAATACACATGTAGACATTTACTAGAACTTCCGAATTCAAACAAACAAAACAGCTCAAAGTGCCTTCATTCAACAAATTCATGGCTACCAGGCTTGGCTCCAGTTCCTTACTGGAAAGGCACAATTGTAATACCCAAGACCAGGAAAGGACGGTTAATTCTATTGTCATATTTCTGGAGAGTAAATTATAGTGGAAATTATATAAGAATAATATTATTTACATGCTTATCATTATAATTTCTAAGTCCTTCTCTCTGCAAAAAACTTTTTCTTGATATAAGATGGGTGTAAATAAAGCTTGCAAGACATGCATAAAATTCACTTGATAACCATGTCTACTTGGCTACTAATATTTTCCTACACTAATTTCTCTGATTAACTACATAGCTCCATAATGAATCCATCTGCTTATGGAGGACGTATTCATACATCTCTTACCAGCACACCACAGACTTCTTAAAAATAAAAAACAAGTAATAAATCCAATGACAAAATTGCCTCGAAAATATCTGATATTTTAAAAAAATTTATTATTTGGGATGATCTTCTCAACGTTCTTTAAAATCAAGTTGCTAATTGATCCTGTCTGAAAGGCACCATAGGGACAGTGAGTGCTGAACAGTAAACATCTCATTGGCTTTTTTCACAACTGGGGAGTTTATCTGTCTCCAAGAGAATCCAAATGAAACATGAACAGCAAGATATACAAATAGCAGCTAATTTGTAGCTGCATAGGCCTGAAACCTCTAATTTCCACGCTATCGTGGCATCTTAGGCACATTCAAGTCAGAAGTTCCTTCAATAAAATTAGCTTTTTTATGGGAAGGCTCGGCAAGATCTCCGTGGTCTCTGTTATTCAAGCGCTCTTGGTCTTCCCTCTTGCGTTTGTTAATCAGCTGATTTTCTCCCTCACACAGCTTTCCCTCTGGGACACCCAATGTTCTCAGACACACAATAGCTGCAGCCTGTTCTGCTAGTTTCTTTGACTTGTCCCTGAAGAGCAAGCAGACAGAGCATAGGTAAAAGTAGAAACTGAAGTATCTACACTGACAAAAGACAATCAATTTCCTGTCTCTGATGCAACATCATGAAATAAACACCATTTGTAGTCATCTCACAGCAGAAGAGCAAAATAAGTCAGTTCCAGAAATTATCTGAATCTTGCTAAGTGTCAATGTTGATGCATGACTCCTGATGTAATATTCCTATAAAATCTGTTTCTATCAGGTCTTGTGTCTCAACACTCTTCATTTCAAACGTATGAAGTCAACATGCGTTTGGCCCAAGTGGCTGCAATCCTCAGAAAGTTAACTTTTACAAATATGATCACTGAACAAAACTAATTGAGTTTTGAAGGATCACTTTCTTGAAAGACACTCAGGCCCAAATAGAAACTCTGGTAGGTGTACAAGTCCATTGATGCTGATAAAAGCAGGAGCTATTCCATAATAACACAAATTCTGTCATTTCCAAGAAGGACTGCAGATTACACATTAATGAAATTCAATATTTGAAAACATTTTCTTCTCAAAGTTTTGTATCAGCTGAGCTTAACTTCCTGAAGTCTCTGGACAGGAATGCTGCAAACATTCAGTAATTGTTGTGTGCATTTGTCCTCTTTAAAATGTTCAATACTGACCTCTAGCTTTGCAGTTAAATCAAGTTCAACTTTGGTGCAAATGCCCGAAGTCAACACCAGTATTAATAGACGACTGTATAAAATGCCATTATGAAACTTTAGAGCAACCCTGGATGTAACTGTTGACGAACTGTGATCTCTGAGAAGCCACTAAACCATCCTCTGCTTCACTGTATACAGACACTTAATCCTGACTTGTTATTGAGAATGGATCTGCTGTAGCAGCTGAAGACACTACCTCCTCCAATGCTCCCCTCTGCCTCCCTTGCTTGGTTTCTGAACTCTTCACAGACGCATTTGAACCAGGTCCCCTATTTGCTCCCCTTCCAATAGAATTTGTGGACTATTGTACTCAGTAAATTAAAATCTGGAATGGTTTACTTGCTTATGCTAAATCTTACTTCATCTTGTCATATTCAATTCTCAGACATTTTTAATCCTTTCTTCCTCCCAGTGGTAGCTTTAGCAGGTAGCTTTTAGTTGACTTTGATAAAAGTCAACTGGAATAAACTGGAGTACCCTTTCACTGTAAGTTTTAAGCAACATTTCAGTAGCAATTACGATACAGGCACAAAAAAAACCGGATAGCTTACCACAGAGTTGATCTGTATTTTTGCTCAGCTACTGTAACTACTGAACAGAATAATCTATCCAGCGGTCTTTGAACCTGGAGAAAAAAAGAATTAAAAGGGGGGGGGGGGGGGGTCAAAAACAGTCATGTCATTTACAGAACAACATTGTCAAAGTTCCTTGTTACTCTTGTCTTTACACCACAGTCAAGTAACACCTTTAAAAACACTGTAATCGCACCACAAATTTAACCGTGCATATTTAAGATTTTAAAATAAGAGGAAGTGGTCCAAACTGCAAATGTTTTTGCTTTACAAAAAAAAAAAACAAAACCAACACCACCACAGATAACACCACCATCTAACCAAACAGTTGCTCCTGTCCAATATAGCTCCTACCTGTAACAGTGTGCAACAACAAAGACAACATTCTGAATCCAAATTCTTTATTTCAGAGAAGCACGAAAAGCGTCAGTCATGGACTCCTGTGTAATGACCTGTAGTTACAGCAACCTATTTCATATATGAATCAAAACCAGACTGAAGGTCTGACTTAAATTTTTATTTTCTAATAAAATAAGCTACTATTTTCATACATGTGTGTGTTACCATTTCTGAAGCTGCTTACTCAAGAGCTATGGCAGACTGGGAAGCAAAGTTTCTCACTACCTGGAGTCCTAAAACAGCTAATTTCATAGACAAGGCAGGGGAAGAGCTTTGAACAGGTTTTTTTCATTGACTCACCGTTTCATAAACAGGCTGAGGATGCTTTTCTTTCCTACACCATTCCAGAAGATACATTTTTGGAGTAATCTGTGGTGCATATTCTCGCCTAGACAGAAAAATTTGTGGTCAACAACTGCGTACAGAGTTCTAATTTAAAATAGCTAGTACTGCTTATTATATTACTTCTATCAATTATTCTTTGTAGTTTAATTTTACAGCTCAAATTATAGGAAAAATGCTGCTTCCTTATTAGAAAATTCAAGTTATACCTCTGACATAACATCTAAAATAAAATCTAAACTTTTCTATTAATTCTTCCCAAACATTCACATTCTGTAGTGACACAACTGAGAAAAGACACTAGAAAGGAGATTCTAACTAAATATATGACACAGAACAGAGATACAGTTTGACACTGCTTATTATAAGCAACAATGTACGATTAAACACTAGAAGAAAGAAAATAAGCTGCTTCTGTTATGAGACAGTAGAATGATCAAATAAACAAGGGTAGGAAAGATAGACATTGATTCAGTTACTAACATGGAATTACAGCCCCTTGTACCTGGCAGAAAAAATACATACTGTAAAACCACTGTATTGAGTCTCTGGGGAGTAAGGTAATATATTATTTAATATTTATACCCTGTAAATATTAAAGCATTATGACTGGATTTGAGGATCATTTTATATCACACACTTCTTCATCTGTTTGATAGACTTAATAGCAAACATAGCAAAAGTAGCAAACATGGGCATAATGTGGAAAGCAGCAACAATCCTATAGGCTTCACAAATTATACTCAAAACTTACTTAAATATTGTACATAACTCCATGCATTAGTTTTTCAAGGAATACCTTACAAGTGCAACACATTTAGAGGACTGCAGATGAACGCATTATCTGCTGAACAGTATTCTGAGATTCATGTAGGACTTTTTATAGAAAAAAATACTGTGTTTTAGTTAAATTTCACTATAAATAACTGAACTCTGTATCTTTGTATACTCATATTCTTCTGCGTACAGATGCTTGAATTTTTTTTAAAATAATTCAGAACTTTTAAGGAGTTAAGTGAGAGAATTAAGCAGTCTCATGAAGCCTGGAAGTAGAGAACATCTTACAACATCCAAATAGCACAGGAAGAGTGGTGATGCTAGTGATTACGCAATGATGTACACTAATTGCTTCACGAAAATTAACTCAGTAAGCACTGTTATGCAAACTGTTATTTTCAAAAAAATGTTAAGGCATTGTTAAATTCACAGTTTTTATTTACAGATGCAAGATAGTGCAAAACTTAATTTGTATGCTTACTTGTCAAACCTAACAGCCATTTTTATTACATCTGGATCTTCCATTTGGTCATCTTCATCTTGTGTCTCAGCTTCTAAAGATGTTTTCTTTGCTTTGAAAATAGCTGTTGTTTCTTCATAGAAGTCAGCCATTTCAAAGACTTCACTATTCAAACAGAATTCCTTTGTATTAGAGATCAGTTTATAATTTTTTTATCATGTTATAATAGAGAAAAGTAAGTACAGAAATCAATTGTTCAAAAGACTACATATATACAGAGAACCACATGGAAGTGTGGCTATATTCTGCACAGTGACATTATATTCTCTCTTCTTCAATTCTTATCAGACACTGTTGAGCTACAAGTAGAAAAAGAATGTTCTCATTCACAGCACTATATATTCAATTTGCAACCTGGAAGTCCAGGCATAATCAATCACAAATACAGGTACTGCAATGTTCAAGCTATTAGCTCAATTAATAACTTGCAGGTGGATGAATCAGCAAAGAAGGTCACTGAATAACTCTGGTGTATCAGCTCCACAAGGGCAATATAAGCAAAAAGTAGGATTCTTCTTCCAATTTTTGTATTTAAAAATACTATAAGCAATGAACACTAACATCCAAATACCTCAAAATCTCAGATGTTCTGACTTTAGAGTATTATGCACAAGCCCCAATACAAGGGAGAAAGCAATTAGGATTTGGATCAAAGGCAAGAGCCTCAAATCCTTTCAAATTTCAGGTCCACAACAGGCTGCATCTACTCTGAAAAACTGAGACTATTCATTTGCTGTGGATGATAACAATAAAACTTGCAGCATAAGAAAACTTCTACTTTCTGACTGTTAGAATGCTCATTGGTATAAGGCTGTTCAATGACAAAATGAATTCTCACCACAAAGCCATCTCCAATGCTCTAAGTAGAAAAGCAATGGAGCTGAATAATGCTAATTGATGCTTCTACGGGAAGACAACTTATTATGTATTACTATGCACATTTTTTTTGTCTGAAATGCAGCAGCCTGTTCTCTTGCTTTTGGTACTGAGGTAAAAACCTCGAACGGCTGCAGTATGCCATCACCACCAGGAGGCATCAGTATTAAGTAATATGTCTACCTGAAGACACATCAGTGCATTTTAAATAATTGAATGTTCTTCAGTGACCTGACATCAAACAGGCTGTTTAGAACAGGGGTTAACAGACTTTGAATCTGCTGATAGAAAGTGGTTTTCTAAATTTTCAAGTGGCACTCCCTCTGTCTCATGCACACACACTGCTTAAGCCAATTTTGAAATTGGTATTGCATCACACATCCAAAATTGAACATAACCAGTTTTTGTAAGCCCTTAAAGAATTGTTAGGCATTGCACATAAACCCAAATCGTTTTACACTAGACCCCTATCATCCAGTGTTTATGTGTACTCTTTCTAATACAAATTTCAGTGTGTATTATTCCACATCTCAACTGAATTTTTTTTTTTTTTAAGCCTTTTCTGAAGGTATGAAACGCCAGGCAGTGCTACAGACAGGGAAGTTGTTTGCAAGTCTGACAGAGAGTACAATTCCTATTTCTGAACTATATGCTTACCAGATCTCCTGTGTGGACTGTGCAGCATGCAGCTTCTTACCCTGAGTAGTTTCCAGCTGTTCTCTTAACATCTGACACAAACAGTATTTTGTGTTGGTATAGTGATTGTCATATCTCACTGCCTGAAGGAGACAGACAAAGTATATGAAAACATACCAAACAAATTTATCTTATACAATGCTCACATCTCCTGATGAATTTCAAAATAATTTTTGAAAGGCAAACCACAATGTACAGTGTCTTCAACAACATATTCAAAACTACTCATGAATACTAGTATAATCTGATTATTTTGGCATGCTTTCATGAACAGAAGTTAAACTTACTCATAAACTTACGAAGAGTTGACCAGTTTACATAACTGACTAGCGATGCAGTGATATTTTAAGTAACCAGTTAACAGCAATTCAAATTTCCAAAACTCAAAAAAATTTGAATTGACGACATGAGAAAAAACCACAGATTTCCCATTAATTTCTTATTATGTCATTAAAATTGTGTATTTTGAGTAATAGATAAAACTTCATATAATAAATGACTCAGCTAATGGAGCCATGGTACTACAATAAAGCATTATTTTATTGGCAAATCATTCCCTTTGCTTCCCTGCTGTTAACAATTCTTGACAGTATTTGTGAAAAACTGAATCTACCAACAACTGAGTATTTAATATTCCTTCACTTTTCTGTTCAATGCTATTTGCACAACATCAAGAGAGTTGGCCTACATATCATTAGCTTCTGAAATTCCTAGACATTTTTGGATAGCATTGTAAGACTCACTAACGTTCCCAAGAAACTAGGGCTAAAAGGCATGGCACGTAAGGAAAGAATGACTGGGAAAAACTTTTCTGAATACAGATTTCTGATAAATTTTTTCTGAACAAAACAAAACAGGAAGCAGTGGCTGATTTGCAAGACTCATATCATATGCAGTATGTTAAAATATCGTCAGAGCCTAAGTCTTTGAAATTCACAGGAGTTAAGTAGTAGTAAAAGTTGGATTAACAATTCTAAACAATCTTAACTATAAGTAAGATCTTCCAAAAAACATACATATTTGATGTAATCTTGCATGACTTCCTTCAAGGGGAAAAGGCCCTCTTTTCTGAAGACAGATGGGTTCCACATGGCAGCACGAGCTATCATTACTGATGAGGCAGCTGTTGCTTTCCTGAAGGTCTCAATGTCCGTATATTCTTTGATGAAGTCATGAGATCCTCCACTAAAAATTAACATCACTGTTATAATCATGAAAGTGCTATTTGCTGTTACAAGTTCTTTAACATAGCCTTGTATTTTCAATGTGATATTACATTATTAATGGTGGCAGAGCCTATTTAAGATATTATCTCAAACCTAACATTAAACCACTCATTATATATAATCTTTTTCATTATCTGCATACTGCTCTTAAAAATAGAAGACTGCTTTTATGAACAAAAAATATAGTTTGTATTTTACACAAACTGTGTGCTTTCACATGGTTTTTAATGGATAAGGCTCAAAGAATCACTTCCATGTTTGAAAAATGGTACCTTGCTATCACCAGTTCTGTAACCTCAACTGCACAGGCACCAGTGGTACTAAAAACAACTTAAGTATGGACAGCATCAATCCACTTTCTCTCTAGCACTAACATACGGAGAGTAACTACAAGTAGAACTTCTGGATCAGTCACGAAGCACTTAAAAGAAGGTTGCACTGTCTCTGTTGTACTGCCTCTGCTTTCAAGTCAGCCAGTCAGACATGTTAGTAAGCAAAAAGAACACTTAAAACACTTATTTCCCTCGAAGTTTCCCTTCACAACATCTTTCATATGTAAAACAAAAGTTCCACTTCTGACCCATAAAGAATAGGATCTGTATACCTTCAACAGTAAAAATACTGTCAAATTAAAATAAAAACTAGAGAACGACAAATTACTTTAAAACCAGACATTTCCATCGTGAAGACAGCACAAGCAAGCTTCCTGCACTTAGGAAAGATTATTCCGTAAACGCAATACCATTCTAGAAATCATAGTATCAATTCAAGTTTGCTTGCCCACCCCCTTTTTTTTTTTTTAGCACCAGTCTACTCTTGCTTTTATTTATTTCTGTATATTTCCTGACCAAGATTTAGGTACTAGTGGTTAAAATTCTCAAAATACTAGCCAGAATAAGGCACAGCAGGGACCAAGTATCACAGATCAAATATATTTAATAAGCAGGATTCCAAGTTGCACATTTACATTTCTTTAGAGAGGGAAAAGTTTCACTAAGTGGATTTAAAACAAAGATCATACCATTTTCAGAGAAACTATTAAAAAAAAAATAAAAAAGGATTGTTAAGGTTGGTTCAGCACATTGGGACACTTACAAAGAAGTAAATTGATATAGGGATTAATTAGAAGCAATTTATCAATAATAAACCGCTGATATTTTTATATCTTAATTGCACACTTCTACATCATAGAAAGTACTCATACAGAGCTGACATTTGTGACACGCATAAAATCCAAGAAAAATTGTTAGCCTCATCTTTTACCTAGGCAAACAAAGGATTCATAGCAATGCACAATGTGAATTTTGCTTTTATTTTTTAATTACGTACTGTTTAAAAAATTACTCTGAAAACTAGAAAGCGGGTGAACCACTGAAAAGTGGATAAGCAAAGATTATCAACACACAATATTTCTTTTGTCCAATACAGAAACAGGTTTTCCAACAGCACAAACTGAGATCTTCAATATATTTTCTAATAGAAAGGTGAACAGGCAAACAGTTCTCAAATTCCTGATCCAAGTACATGCTTTCCAGAGACGCAGCTTTTTCGTGAAAACCTCAAGATCAGTAAAGAAAGAAATTCATTTTAAGGACACTGCTTCTCTGGCCAAGAATATTCTACTGCCACTTCTAAAGAGGTGAAACATCTGAAGACATTGGTCAGGCAGATGAGATACAATTCAGGACAGTTTGATAGTTTTCATTATCTCTGCTTCCAAAATTGCTCTTAAAACTTACTGGTTCGTAGTTAAACTTTTCTAAGACTAAGTTCCTGGTTTTGCTATCAGAGAGTTACTGAAGGATCTACCAATATAAACAGACAGATCCAGTGCGATCGTGTCCGTATGTCTGGAGACTAAGGAGGTCTCAGGGAAAATGTGAGGCCACAGAATAAAACACTTTTTGAGTGGTGGGACAGGTGACATGTAAGGTATGCAGTGGCAGGGCTATAACCAGTCACTGCACACGGCTTCAAAGCACGGAAAATTCAACTGCTAGAAACAATCAGAAACAACTTGCATAAGATAGATTGTGACACACAAAAGCAGTACTTTTTGAAAAATATATGGATTTTTTCAGGTTTTTAGTTTATGGTGATATTTCATACGGCCAACTTCTGTCACTGCCACCTCTATTCAGATCTGATCTTTGGTAACAGGTAACATTGTATTCGCCCTATATGGCTCTCCTCCCTGCATTTACAAATCTAAAGTTAGGCACAGGTATCTTGCAATAACGAGCTAATTAGTCCAACTTACTTCGCTATTACCGGAATGGAGACTGCTTCAGATATGGCTTTGATCACATCACAATGGACAGGGTGTTGAGGCCTCTCCTCCTTCTTCCTTTCCAACAAACAAAAGACAAGACCAAAGATTTCCTATGGAATTTGTAGATATCTGAATCACACCAGATGCGACTCAAGGATTATTGGGACATTCTTATTTCTGTTTATTTACTTTATATATTTGATGTAATTTTCCTTTTTTTTTAAACGCAAGAGAACTATTTTATATCAAATACATTTTAAAACATTGTTACTGTAATTCCATATCCAGATAAGCAGTATTTCTTACAGAGTACACAAGATAATTTTAGTTTTATTTGGTCATTGAGATAAACATTTTAGAAGAACAGCAGCAAATGGTTCAATTCTCTAATTACTGGCCCAGTTTTCTACAACATCAGTTTAGTTAACAGCTGAAATCAGAACCACGTATCACATGTCGCGTATGCTCTAGTCAAATCTTACTGTACTACACTCACCAGCAAACTAACAAATCTAAGTCTCTTGCCTAAAATCGATTTACCTCCCATGGACTGCAATGGCAGCAATACCAGTTTTTTCTATTCTCTTTACCAGATTCACTGTATCCTCAACCTGAAGGATAAGAGAGAATGACATGATATTAGTTCAAAGAAAAAGGAATAACTATCAGGTGATCATTGTACAAACAAATATTGAAAGTATTTTCTTTCATCAAGAAGGATATGATTCCTGTATTTCAACAGTAACTCCCAACATGCATAACTATTTAATGCATACTTCAATTAAAGAACTACATATTATGGCAAAAATACGAATCCATTTTCAACACTTCCTTGAAACTACAGATCACATGCTTTCTCAAACCAGGTAACACAATACTCTGTAATAGAACATTCTCTAACAGCTTTTTAGACTGTCGTTTGAAAATGATACAAAACACTTGATGAGCAAGTCCTCTCTAACAGCTACTCTCAAAACAGTAAATAAAAAACATCTTAATAAGAGGGTGCATTCTGAAATCAATGTAACATCCAATCACACATCTACAAATATCCCTTTCAGAAGTGTCTTAAAAAAAAGTCAACTAGTATCTAAAAAATTCTAATGTTATATGTATGTGACCAGTGAATCAAAAGATATAGGGGAAAAAGGGGAAGATCCCAGTATATCTTCCAAGAGGTAAGATGCTGCTAAATGGCAGAAAGTAGTTTGGCACACTGCTGGATTAGCCTGTCTTATACAGCTTTGGGGAAAAGGAAAATGAAAAAAGATATGGCCAAATTTTCTTTTCAAAAGCTGGAAAACGATCTGTGGCTCATCACAAAAATAGCACATCCAGTCTTTGAAAAATGCAACATATACCAGCTGGCAGACAGAGACAGAAGTTAATCTGCTGTTCTCATGGATGACATGTTATAAAAGCAACTTGAAACAAAAAGGAAGACGCTCTAGGATACTTGTAGAAAATGAAAAGGAGAGGTGCCAGTTCTCTGATTTAACATTTCAGTACTTCGAAACCAAGATGATCTTACAAAGAGTTACCAATTCTTTTCACACAGGCTTCATTTGTTCATCTAATCATTTCAAGTGCACACATAAATGACTTTTGAATAATAGCTAGCTCAGTTACAGCTCGCCCATCTACAGAAATATCTATCCAGGTCATATGCAATCACAGTATCTAGGTGGGTAATTAAATACACATCTGCAAAATAATCAGTCATTAAAAGAGAAGGCATCTAATCTCCCGGAAGTTTGAAAATATGTAGGGAATTCAATTAAAAAAAAAAATTCCAGTAAGAAACTACACCAGCTGTAAAACAAGAACGACCTATGTATTTTCACTACATTCTTAACAGTTAAATTTTAGAAGAACACTGACAAAACAAAATGCAACAGCTTTAGCAATGTAACTGTCTTACCACAATTTCTTTGACACGAATGATTGTACCCAAGAACCTATCCAGAAAAAAGTCATTCCAATTGCAATGAAGATGTTGCTTCTGAGAGGGAAGATTGTGAACCTTTTCATATAAGCTAGCAATTTCACCACTTCAGTCTACCAAAGAGTTTCTAAAAAGGCTGCAGAAGTTGTTTTTTAATTCACTTATTTGTAGTATTTATTTCGGCCATTGCATGTACAGGAGTCAAGTAATGCAAAATTTCCCTGCAGTACAGAATATGAGTAGCTTATAGAGCACATGCAGTTTCCTTTATAAACACAATTTCATTAGTGAAATCTTCATTATTAATATGAATGCTGGAAGTTGGAGAAGTAACATTAGGACTTGGTCTTCCCCTCCTGATGTTTAAACTTCAAGCAGCCTGTCAAGAAATTCAAAGTTCATCGTGCTGTGCTTATATACACATGATATTACTCTCCATCAATTCCACACTTGACAGTTGTCTTCTAAAATAAGAGTGCATTTTCCCTTTTTGTTTTCATTTAGTACTTATCCACCCGCAAAAGCTCTGAGATTAACTCAGTGGGTTACAAGAAACAGGACTAAAATACTTTTTCAATAGAAGTATCCACATTTGGAGTTCAACGGAATAAGACCATGTGTAGACATCTAATCTTTATATTTTCTTGACTTTTTATATCAGAGAAGAGAAACATAGTTTGGCATCAGATGTGAGCAGCCAGAAAGGCGAAAAATACTGAACAGAGGAAAATGTCTCCTGAAAAATACTGAAAGAGAAAATGCCTGTCAGCCTGAAAACAGCTAGCCTGGGAAACAGGCCTGTGAACCAGAAGTACCCCTGATAGTTGCAACTGGGTACCTAGAAACCAGCAACATCCTGAGATACCATCAATCAGTGCAAAACCAAGAACCGTATCAGCAGCTTATGACATGAAAAGGTAAAAAATGGTCTGGAAAAAGGAAAAACATCCTGAGAAAGAAGGAATCTGTAACTGCCATTGGCTGTTCTAACTGCAAGAACATAAAAACAGTCTGGAAAAAATAAAAAATCATCTGAAAGAACAGAAAACAATCATCTATTGGCTGCCCCAGGTGAAAAAATGAATTAACAGCATCTATTGGCTGCTCAAGCAGTGATGTCCTACACCCTCTTGTGTCTCCATGACATAAATGACTATTTTTATCCAAAATGCAGCTTCTCTCTCTCCGAGAGCTTCTCACGCTGCACATACTTTTCCTTTTCCTGAACAGGTTGAACTCTCCGCATGAACTTTCTACAAGATCTGGGACCCTTACCAGAGATGCCTGGCTGACTCCAAACTCCACGACATGGATCATCTTTGGAGTGAGTCTCTGTCTGTTATTTTATCAGTCCCCCTCTGGACCTACTTTAGGGGTTGGTTCAGTTTGTCTTCCTACTGCTGGGATGGTTTGGTCCCCTTCTGGGATCTAATGCACATGATACCGGTATGGTTACTATGAACACACACACACACACATATATATACGCATATAAGTAATCTATCATAAGTATATCTGCTGTTGTATTATTTACGAGTTTGCTTCACCAATGATAAGTTTGTAGTAACCTGTATTAGCATATACCTACTTTGCTGCTATTGATTGCTGCTACAATTGATTGCTGCCATATTAATCATTGCTGTTACACTACTGATTGTTAATACTAATAATTTGTAATAGCTTGAGACACATATACCTATATCTTGCTTTATTAATCATAGGTATATTTGGTATGGTGATTTTTGTGGTATTTGTGGTAATCTGTAAGAAAAGTTCAGGAATTTAGAGGATAAAAGCCTCTGTGTCCTTGTGTATTATGGAATCTGACGAATCCACAGTCATGATCTCTATACACCCACAGGTCAGATAATCCTTTCAGTCATGACAGCATCCCAAACAGAAATTACAGAAACAGTAATTCCAAGTGTTATTTCACAATAATAGGTCTAAAATGCTAATATATTAGAATGCCATATATTCCAGTTGATTTTAAATCACAGAATTAAACAACAATTAAACACTTTAGCATAATGATTTATGTTCTTACTGATGGCAAAATGCGGATTTTGCAGGTTACTGGTTTGCAAATTCCTTTAACGAGAGTCGTCAGTATCTGGAAAAAAAAAAAGTAAGAGAAAAAAACATGATCACAACTGTGACAGTAATAAAGCTCTCCTCCCTTCTCTCTTAAAGACACAAAGATATTAGAACACCATAACACTATTTACTGTTCCTCCATAAAGGATCTTACACGCTAGACAGACACACACAGTCTGTAATTGAGTATATAATTTTATCCGATAGATATGCAAACCTATTTCTAGTATAAGCGATTTTTATTTCCACTTCTTTTTTGATTTTAAACAGATTTTTACAGAGCAATTAACTGTTGCTGGAGTTTTAACATCGCTCTTCATACGAGGTGACCAGTAAACTCTGATCATTTCAAAATAAAGCACAAAAGTTTTTCGTTTTCATGCAACTGTTTTCACAGTCTTCTTATACTCAAGTTGTGAGTTTCTTATGAAAACTAAATGTCGGTGCTCCCTAAAAAGAGACCTTTTTTTTTTTTTAAAGAGAAGAAAGCCTTACAAATTGGAAAAAAATTAGAGGAAAATATCAAGTGACAACATCATTGAATTTTCTAAAAGAAAACAAAAATTGTAAACTGAATTCCACACTGTTAAGCAAAGCACATTTCATTCATTTCAACAAACTCAGAATAAGCAGACAAACAAGCAGTTGTTAGTTTAACCATTTAAAAACTGAGCTATGGAAAGAATCTGCTTTTCACAAGCTGAATTTAAGTCCAACAGACCATACTTAAAAGGGACACGTAATGACCTATACATATTGAAATCACTGTATGACTATAGAATAAGTGGTACAAGAAATACAATAGCTCTCTAGAGTGGAAACCAGCTGATCCTGACTATTATTAGAAAAATACTTTGTTTTCAATTGTTTTTTGACATACTATCATGCATGTTATTCTGAGTACGCTTCCCTTGTATAAAATGGATGGAATTGCAGGGAAATTATTTCTTTCAGAGTTGTGCATACTATGAAACCTGAATTTTGTTTACTGTTATTGCACTTATTAGGTTCCCAATACAGAAATGAGTTGTTACAGCTAGAACTCACAAGTTCTTATACTTAGAACAGCTGGCAAGTAATTAGTGCTATCCTGCACTGTCTATTCAAATTTTTCCTCAGCAATGTTGTCTCAAACAGTAAGATCCAAGAAAATTATCAAAAAAACCCCGCCTCTTCAGTATTTTTAATTTGTATTATTTTTTGCATCTAAATCCAACCGAAATGACATAATTTTCAAAACATCATCACTATAATATTTTTCTTACAATAGCACCAATAAGCAAGTCTTAAGTTTTTAATCATATGGAAAGCTTGATTTGAACTCTAATTTCAGATGTCTTTTTCAGGCTATAAGTTTAGGTATCCCTTTAAGGGCTAAGAGCAACTTTCATGCCTAAGATTTTTCTGCCTATTAACATCCTAAATTGAAAAGAACAATTTCAAATTTTTGAACATCAAGTTTCCCACGCTTCTGAAGATCAAAATGAAATGAAATGGTTGTAGAGGTGAAGGGCAGCTGGTAGTAATCATGTTTACAACTGTCTCTCCTAGGAGAACAGTTTTTGCCAGGTTTACTTCTAGCCGGCTAAATATTTTCCTCTCAATTTCCACTCCTAAAATTTTTTCTTTCAGCCTTCATCACCTCATGCTTCATAAATTACTATTTAATTCTGCATTGTATCACCCACCTTACATAGTTCATGGAACACCACATAGGCCTCAAAAAACATGGTTCTGGTTCCAGTTCTGTTGCCTCTATTGTTAGCTGACTTTCTGCAGATAACAACACTTAGCCGATTCTTTTAAGAAATTGAGACTGATATTAAGCTTCTCTAAAAACCTTCTGAGATCAAGACTGGATCACTTGTACTTTTGCTTTTCCCATCAGGTAATGAAAGAAGGAGTAACAGGTCCAGTCTATTCCATTTAAACTCTTGCTTTGGCACAATTAACAATGCTTCCAGTTGCTGAATGGTCAGTTTGTACAGCTTGGTGAACACTGGCTCTACTTACAAAGAGATTCTTACACTTTGCAAAAGGCTAACGCCCCATCATGGTTATAGCTTTGACAACATGCCCTCCTAATGGCACCTCCCCAGAGAATGAAATAAATGACGCAGAACAACCTGTTTTCATGTCTGAGCTTACAAAGAATAGTAACTAAGCAAACAATCAGCTTGTTGAAACTGTAGAAGTCCTACTAGCCTACAAAGCTGAACGGTGTTATCACAGTAAGAGGAAGGATTTACAAAAGAAATCTCTCATGAAATGACTCCATTTTAGACAGAAGGAAAAGGCATTAACCACAGGTATCAGAAAGAGAGTGGCTATCATTCAGAAATAGAGCCATGCAGATGAGCGAAGAGAATCTGGTCTCTTCAAAAGCCTGACCTACATCAAAGAACCCTGAGAACAAAACCACTCAAAAGCCACATGGAAAAAGGCAGAGCAATGTTTTCGGTATTTTTATTTTGTCCAGATCTGCGTACTTTTGATAGTACAAGAAATAAACAATAACTACCTTGAAACATTTGCCACTATGTACTGTGATTCAGTCATTACTGAGGGGTGAACTGTAAACTAGAATTGCCCTCAAGAACTCTGAAGGAATAGACAATGAGCAACTAAAAGCTCAGGGGAAGAAAGACAAAGTTCACAGTCAACTCATCTGAACTATGAAGAAGCAGGTCTTTAAACAGAAAGAAAAAGCCCACATGCTAAGAACATTCCTGGCAACCCAGAGCAATGTCTGGACTCTGTTTAATCTCAGGAAGCTTAGAAGTCCTTAAGAATACAAATATATATAAAAAAACACAAACATATTGCCTATCCATCTGTACTACATATAGATAGATGTATATATTACCTTTTTCATATAGGTTCATACAGGGTTTTATATATAAAAAATATATATACACACATAAATGCACACATACATATCAACCTTTTTCATACTGGATCAATTAGGTTTTTGTATAGATTTACATGCATATGCACATAAAACTCCTCCCTCCGCAAATACAGTGCCGAACTGTGAAAGTTTTAACACTGAAAAGGAAGAAGGTAGCAGTTTTATAGTCCAAAGACAAGGAGAACTATACCAGGAATATTTATCCATAACCTTCATTTCAGTATTAAAAACTGATAATTCCACTCTAGCTTTCAGAAATTTGTCTTATGTGCATTAATCTCTGCTCCCAGTAGAGCACACTACATAGTACCTCTCGGGGCAGTTCAAAACTCACAAGGTGATACTTACAGACTCTATTTTGTCAGGATCAGACAGCAGTGCTGCTCCCATACCTCCCTGGGAAAAATACAGAAACTGTTACACAATAGGCAAACACATTTTTCAACTCAATTATTCTTCCTAATAGCAGACCACAGCAAAAGTACAATGCTTAAAAAAAAAAAAAAAAAAAAGAGAAAATGGCAAAAATCTAAAATGCAGAAGCATTAGTGAACACTTTGGTGAAACATTTCCTAGAACTGTGTCAGAATAATTAAGCAGTAATTCAGGGCACCAACGTGCTCCCATTACTTTGTGGAGCAGACAGGGTTTCAAAAAGCCATTTTTAGCAACCGTAATCATCTGGTTTCTACTCATTACACACCATGTTTGAGAGGTCTTGATGTCAATAGTTCCTGTCTACACACTACCTTTAGAAAAACAGGCTAAGTCAAATCAGGTGGTTCTACTGAACACAAGTCATGAACACTTTAACAATTTAATAGTTTAGCTGTTGTTTCTGCACTATCTCATCTGCATACATAGATCTAGAGGCCAACAGGCAAACATAAATAAGTTCAAAAGTCTATGAACTTTTTTGACTCAGAACTAGTGACAGAGAATAACTATCACCAGCATTTGAATTTTTGATCTTTCATCCTAGTACAGGGTGTTTTATTCTTAATTATGATTCTGTGGAAGGATGAATTAGTATTCCATGTAACTACTTACAATACAGAAGAAAGTAATAAAGGCTAAAGAAAACATTACTGGAAATATCATCAGACCATTATGAATTTAATGACAAGTCCTCAACATGACTACAGTTCCTTGATAATAAGACTTTATCTCAAAAGCCATGTGGCAGAAAAACAGTGGAATTGCCTAAATACGTAAACCAAAAGTATCCAGAACAGGGGAAATTAAAATCTGCATTTAAAATAATGTGAAATATTTATTGTCACCATACCTCACTTACCTTGTCATTTTCATAAGTTAACATTGAAACAAGAAAAGTTAGTGGGATTAAACCAGAAAAAAACCTAGAAATGTATGCGGGTAAAATTATTCACAAGTTAGATGCAATATATTAGAAGGATTTAAGCAATTATTCACAGAGTGCAAGCCAACCTACAAAACTAAGAACCATGGAATCACAAAATCCCCCTATAGATCGATCCATCCTTTGCCTTTCTTGCACCATCACCTGGTACATCGACCATTGTCAGATAAATCCAAAATAAATCCACTTAGACAAAGCATTATTTTCTCTTGGCTGAAGAACTGAGAAAGGAGGATGATATACTCATGTGGAGTACAGTCTGTACAATGTCATGGTATCATGCAAGGTACGGGCATGTTCAGCATTGTCAGCTTTGGCCTTTACTATGCCCTGTCCTAACAACGCTGCTTTCAGGCACCAGATATCTCAACCAGCCACGTATTCATGCACCAGACACAAGCTGCCACAGAATTCTATTTTTTTTTTCTAAGGGGAGAGGGAAAAAAAAAATAATTTCATTTGGTCCACAAGCAACTTAGTTTGACAACAGAAAAATACATAAGCTCTACAAAAGCTAGGAGGATACTAGGAATTAGGGCAGATCGAGTTACCATTTACTTTTGTGCTCTTGCTTTAGTAAAAGGCCAGTAAATATCTTACAGATGTAAAGACAGGTAACACAGAATTAGGAAGTGAAAGTACTGCCTATGTGGATATATTGCTTTTTCTGTTTAAAGGATGAAGCATTACGGTTTCACATTACAGAGAACTTGCTCCAAATTCTAAAAATGCCAATAACACAAAGACCAGAGGAGTGAAAGTTTATATGCAACAGCCAGGCTTCTTCCCTGGAATGAAGGTTTAAGTGTTCTAAGTCAAAGTTCTTTTTCTTCAACAGAAAGTGCAAAATTTCTCTTATCTATTCTGCATGAACATCTGATAACAAAACGGAGCTCCATGGTCTAATTCGTTGATACTTTAACTGGCTTAACAGTGCTAACAACTAGGTTATTTTACTGTATTAGGTCTATGACACCTTCGAGGCTCTTTTGTTTATTGCAAAACAATAAACTCAGGTTTATCTTCATAAAAACTTTACTGTTTGCATTTATTCAACCCAGAAAATTAGAACATATATTCTGCACTTCACCCCTCTAAGAAAGAAAACGCTTATATAAGAGTAATCAAAATCCACTTGCCTTAGTAGAATATTCTTTTGGGCATCCCATGTTGACATCAATGCCAGCTACATCACTCTCTCTGAAAGAGAGGACAGAAACAACCAAAATGTCTGTCAGCATATTACAACATGATTCAGGAAATAGACATCTTTCCAGGAAACCTGTAACATCGTCATTAGGGCTCAAATGAGAATTTAAGGTTAAGTTTTTATTTGAAATTCTGAATTTTTAGTTTCTCACTTACGTAAGTTGCGTACTTATTTTAATGGCCATCTGAAGATCAGTCTGGCCACAGGTTTCAATGACTAGTGCTGTACAAAAGCTGAAAATACTCACTCTAAATATGTTTATAAAAGAGTAAGTATATATAAGTATATCCACCACTAAATTCACCATTGTAACTGAAGCAAGTGCTATTGAAATTTCCATCTATTTAAAATGGAGACTTAAAAACACTTTTTGAAAAGGTTTGAGACAGTGCCTAATACTTTGTTGGGGGCTTCAAACCACAAACAGTAGGAGATATTTTCAGGCATATTGTTCTTACTTGCAGCTGTGGAATACCTTGGAAAATTTCATATTGGAGAGATCAAGGACACACTTACTGCACTAGCAAAAAGCCATGAATCCTAGTATAGAACTAAGGCAGCTGCTGTTTTGAGCAAGAGTTATTTTAAACAGAATTTGTAGTTGCACCATTATACCACAGGCCTTTTGAGATGCTATACTTTACTGTGCAGCTCCTACAGAACTTTTCTTGGTCCTATCAAGGCCTACCTTGATCCCCTCAATCATAAAAAGTTGTCTTCCATGATAATTCCTCTGAACAAAAAACCCTGAACAAACCCAAAGTGGGAAGTGTGTGAGAGAAGACTACTTACACAAGCTTAGCTACTGCCAGGGCTCTTTCAGCATCTGCTGATCCCTGTTAGTAAAACAAAAGTATTTGTAATTATAAAATATCATAAAATTAATTTTAAAAAAATGTACTCACTTGCATATGTGTATAACTACATTTGCTCTAAACATTTAGTACGAACTGAGAGCGACCTATTCACGGCACAACAAATAGCTAAAACATTTAGCTAAAGCATGTACTCAGTCATTGAATGACAAAAGGTGATGCAAAAAGGGGTCTGGAGAGGTCTGTCCACCCTCTTCACCTACAGTGGTATCAAATGTTCTTAGCCCACCACCATTGGATATTTATTTATTATGCTCTTAAACTCCACTAATAACAACCTATTCCAGGGCTATCATTACCACTGAAAAATGTCTTTTCCAATATCTAATACAGTCCACATTTCTCCCTCCCTCCAACCCCCACCATATCTTGTCCTACACAGAGTAGTCTCAAAGAAGAAATCACTATGTTTTTCTCTCCAGAAGCCTTTAATCCATTTGTACAATGTTAATGCACACACTAATCCTCTTACCTACACTAAACAATGCCATTTCTTTCAGTCCTTCCAGAGAGACTGCTTACTGAACAGTACAAAACTTCGACACGTGATCAAACATCAGCATAATTTAATTTTTGGTACCTATACGTTTGGAAATATATCAAAGATATCTACTACAAAAACAAGCTGCTGTCACAGAGCATGGAATTAATCTTAATCTCCTCTTCTGAAGACAGCCGTATGGAGAGCTTATAATGTAGCATCTTGACTGCATGTGTATCAACAGATTAGAAATTCTGTAACACATTTGGGTGTGAAATTTTACATCCATCCAAAGCGTCAAGAAATTGGTAAGTCTGCAATACGGAGAGCTGCTTTAGACTTAGATTAACGTTACTTACGCTACCTTGTGTGGCCGTTTTGTTATCAGAAGAGTACCTGCAGCTGGTTTCTTACCATTTGGAAGACAACATTGTGCCTCTCCCTTTCACAAGTTCTGAAAACAACTCTTTCATTAGGTGCAACGAAGTCCACCGTTTCAAGTACTTCTATATCAAATGGAACAGATAAAACAGACAAAAATGATATACAAATGTAATCATAAAGGAAATCATGAGACTATATAACTTGTATACAAATTAAATGCTACCAGGTAAGTCTTTCATGAACAGCAGAACTAGTAGCACCCTACCTCCTGTATATCCTTGCAGTACATTTCTTGCACATTGCTGTTTCCCTCCCATAGCACTCCCTAATCACCCCCACCCTGCCTGTTTCTTGGGCAAGCATCAGCATCAGAACAAGTCTAATGATGAATCAGTCAGAATGAACATAACGCTACCATTTTGGGAAGGGACAGGAGTGGAAAGTAGATTTGTAGGGGACTTCTGTTCCCCAACAGGGACACTACAAATTACTGCTTCTCATGCCACTCAGCTGGGGAGGTCTCAAAGATATCTTCTTAAGAACTTGTCTCTGAAAATTATGTTAGGCCAAATCTAGCCCATGGACCTCAAGTAAATAAAAAAATGATAGAAACGGTGAGATCTTGTATGTCTTGCTTCCTTATTGCAGTAGACTAAAAGGCATCTGTATTATAACGTCACAAACAGTTAACATTTATAAAAACTCCTGATTGGAAACTGTCTCTACTGCAGTCCAAATGAATTTGTTTTCTTGGACACTATCAAACTTTTCTTCAAAAATTAAAAGGCTTTGTAACTAATATTAGTAGTTTTGCTTAGGAAATTATATTTTATATTAGGACATACACACTTAAAATTTCTGAAAAAAAACCCAACACCAAAAAACCCAAGACAAAGTGAGAGTTTTTTACTATTTATTCTTTATTATAATAACATATGAAGGCAGTAGAGAGGCTGAAGCCAGTATGTAGATACAGAATTGAGGAGTTTATCTGTTAATTACGGTTTTATTACTTGTCTTTTTAACGCACATAAAACTAAAAGCTTTAAAATTTTAAGCAAGGCACTGGAACTTTACTGCAGTGTCTATTCCAGCTACTAGTTTCTTTCACCTGCCGCTAGGAAGCATAATGCTGAAACATTAGCAGAGAAAGACATAATTCCAGGAGCTAAAATCATAAAATCTTTCACTTTAGAAGGCCTATACCTGCACACCCAGCGACTTGGTCTCTATCAAAGTTTAACAGAAAACTCCTCAAATCTTTGTAATAAACTAAGTCATTGATGGAGAAAGAACTTGTGTCCAGGCCCTAAAAAGTAACAAAGTGTCAGTTACTAATACAGTAGCCCCCTTATCCTCCAAAAATATTTATGTTTTTCCTGAGGGACACTAACTGAACTATTGAAATTTCTTAAGAAGGGAAACTGAAAGTCTGAAACTGTAGAGCAGCAGGCAGTTGTAAGGTAGCATTTCACAAGTCCCTACACACGGTTTAGAGAAAGTACATGTACCAATATCTTGTAATCACTATTAAATTACTTAAGAGAAATAATTATTTTTTCTCTTACCCAGAAAAAAGAATGCTTACAAATATTAACAAAAGAAACACTATACTTGCCATTTATAACCCTCTTACACTGCAGCATCTTTATGTCAATCAGCTCCTGAGAAGAAGAAATAAAAATATCTCAGTGAGTTGAACTGGTTAAGCCACCCAGCTCTAAACAGTTGCCCTGTTTATTAAATAACAAAAGATACCAAATATAGAAAAAAATACAAACTAGTTTAACAATACAACATGCTCAACTTACATTACAAAACATGAATAGAACATATGAACATAAGAATATGTTTACATAGTTCTAGAAAAACCATTTTGTTCAAATACCTATCTAGCAAGCTGGAAACAAAGCAGAATGAACTCCCTAGAGCGGAAGGGGAAGATAACTTGATGCTATAACAACAGACCACCTCAAGAATCAATGTAGATTTGTACTAGCCAAGCATATAGAATAAACCAGCAGTATTAGGCTTTAAAGCTTCTTTACCTTAATCCTGAGCTTTAACAGTTTTCTACATTTCTTAAAAGACAAAACAAAGCTTGGTGTTGACCTTTACTGGAGAACCTAATATACAGTCATCGTTTGTCTAGAATTTGTAGCTTACCTTTAAGAAGAAATCCAAAACTTTAATCTACATACTAGACATAGAACTTCACTACAGACCAACACAATTCAATCTATTAAGGACACCATATAAGCCATTTTCTCACATGTATCCCATCAACTTGATTATAGCTGAGCTTCCGGACAAACTGACTGCCTTTAATTGACAAAGGGCTACAGCTTGAGTCAATATAACTTGTTAGCTGCTGAAATAAATAAGCAGGTGTTAATTGAACTGCTATATAAATTAAGACAAAAACCCACCACGCTATAGTGTTAGTTACCTGAAGAAGTTTAGTCTATTATAAACTCTTTTAGTAAATAAATTAAAAATCTACTGATTTAGAGGTAAGGGATTAGGCTAATCTCAGTCTTCTTGTATTTATCATAGGTTTTATGAGTAGTGCTTTAAATCTAAGCTTTTAACTAATGTTACTCATTAGGTACTGTTCACTTTAAGTTCTGTAACAGCTTTGAGTTCTAAAATGTTGAGGGAATTGCTTGGGGGGGGAAGGATTGGAAAACGGATAAATCAGAAAATGAAGCTTTACTATACAGAAATAAAATTACAAAAATGCAGTTATTTGTGCTGTTGCTGAACAACTGCAGTATAATCGCCTAAAACAACTGTTCTATTTTATACTATCTTGACAGTTCTTAAGAAAACAATCGTTTCTCTGACAAAACCTATTAAGACAGATACTTAACTGCAAACTCTAGTCTGTGTCAAAGGCATCTTAACTCTCTTGTCTCTCAACAGCAGTGTTGGGCCTGGGGGGAACACAATGTAGGAGACCTTAGTTTTCCTCATGTCACCTCAAAAATACAACAGGTTTTTGACTACGGGAATAAATTTCACACTACAAGTTTTGGTTGTTTATGTAACAAAACTTGTTAAGCAACTTTGAGGGCCTCTTGTTTTGAGGTAACTGTTTCTCTAGAATTGTGACAAAAAGTGTGTGCAAAGGAAAAACTGCTTTAGCTGCACAGTTTACAGTGCTGGATTAAATAACTTTTCACACCTTGTGACTTCAGCTTTAAGCAAAGCAATACCTTTATGTGTGTGGTTTGTTCTGTGTTTTGGATGTGGTTTTGTTTTTTGTTGGTTTTTTTTTTAAACCCACCAATTTCTATGTTACTAACTTCTTGTACAATGGTCCTGTCAAATCTCTATGTAGCGAAATCCAGTAGCTGCTCAGTAACAAGGTTCTTTGCTACTACTAAGAAGTATAAGACACACCTGTAAAGTACAAAGGCTATCTGAAGTCTGACACTCTTTTCTCTTTCAGTGTTTAAAATTTTTTGAAACTGTAACTCCATGCTTGCGACTCTTCTCTAAATACCATGTACAGTCAGCCCCTCAGAGAACGAAAAAATTACATATTCTCACTTAATCTCATGTAAACCAGAGAGGTCATGATTCATAAACTGGGAAACTGTTAATTATTGTTTGTCAAAGAACAAAACCACCTCGTTACTCCCAATTTTCTAACAGACAGCAGTAACTATTCTACTGAATTCTAAGATTTTTTTCTGCATGATGCAGCAATAATTATTGTTTCACATGTAACTGACACAACTAGAGACAAAAGATGAGGCCAAGGTAAAAACCACATATTGTCTCTCTGAAAACAAATCTTTATCTACCCTCAAAAAGGGCAGTGAGCTTGCTCACAAGAGGAGTGCTGTGAGGATTCCTGGAGAACATCATCAACAACCAATCTGACAGTTTGTTTCAGTCTGTTCTACTGGTACAGATCAAACATTCTCCAGGAAAGCCAGTATTTAAGCGATGTCTACATTATGTTAAACTTCCTACTGATTTTTTTTATTAAATCTTGGCTGAGTCATGTAACTTGTACCAGTGCCTACATTTGAGACGAGTTGATAATAGCACTGAAGGGGAAAGTGGGAGTACTGATGTAATGTAACAGCAAGGACAGTTACTGGACAGACTAACTACCTTAAGTTACAGAGCAGTCCCACCAATAATATCGGCAGCAAACTGGAGCCTCTGCTTCAGGCAGCTTTCAGAAAAGTGGTTAAGCAAGGAGGACAGCAGTGCTGTGAGTGTGTGTATGTATGTGTATATATATATATATATATACACATACATATAGATGCTCTGGGTTAGCACAGCAGAGCTAGCCAGGTGAGAGGGCAGGTCAGTCTAAGACTTCCCTCAATATTATGACTCTACTCAAAAAAACAAAAAAAAAATACTCCCAAAACCCAACAAAAACCAAAACACAGTAGAAGGTGAGGAAATAGTTATAGTGAGTGGTTTGGCTAAATGAATTCAAATTATTGACCAGTCTTAAAATATGGGTTTGCCATAACTTGAGGACTGCTCAAAGGGAAATGTCTTAAGCCATAAAGATTTTCCTTTCCCCATTTTTCTAATGAAAAATACATGTAAAACGAAAAAAATCCTACAATAAACAAAGTCTATTTGTACTTTTATTAGTAATAAAATTATCAGATAAGACCGCCTCATCTGCTCAGCCGTCGTACCTCACAGTACACGATATCAGCACCATAGTCCAGCGCAAGAAGACGCATGGGCAACGTTCCCACTCGCACCATTGGAGCCAGGATCGTCTTTCCTCCAAAGCACAGCGGCGTGTTCACCGTCATTCCTGTCGCGACACCACCTGAAAGAGAAAATCGAGGGGGACAGCTGCAGAATACCCTTTCCTACCCGTCAACGCCCAGAACCTTACTTCGGCGGGAAGGGTGGGGGGGCGGTGGGGAGCGTGT